ATCCCCCAGTAGCCCTCAATCTACTTCTGTGTTGGAGCAGCTCCTCCATTGCCCCCTGTGGGAGCCTGAGCCTATGGCTCAGTATGGTCAAAAGCAAATACTGCTCCTGGTATACAAGAGCCATAGGATGCTGTTTATATGGAAGGCTTACATAGGGTTTTAAATGGCTCAGAAGTGGAGACAGCTGTGGGGGCTCCCACAGTGGGAGCTTCCCTGCCCAGTATCTTCCCCTGCTCTTGCCTCTTATCCCTTTCTGGTCCCTCCCCTTGCCACCCAGCTTACCTTTGCAGCTTCTCTGGTTCCATCTCTGTTAGGGGCACAGAGTACCTGGCCCAGCCAAGCAGTAGCAGTGGCTCTGGCTTCAGCCTCCAGCCTTCCCCACGCTTCCCCTAATCTCTGCTTTCCTTACCCCACATCCTATTCTCACACTCCCTCCTCTAGATGTATCCCTTCCCATGCCCCACCTTGCACTACATGCCCTCTTCCCCATGCTTCCACTACATTACGCACTCTGTTTCCTGGCACCCCACACATCCTTCCTGTGCCACATGAGCAATACTGGCCCCATTCAGAGCCACAGCAGCTAAATGAGGGGAAAAACTTCATCTTAGATTTGAGTAAATGTGATATCTTTGTGCAGCATAGCCCAGCACAGGGTTAGTGCTTTAATAAACTCTATAATATTATTATAATAGCTACCAAAATATTTCAGAAATTTGTACAAAAAGCATGAGAGTCTGGGAGATGCAGATCAAGATAGAATTCCTGGCTTGTTTCTTATGCAAAAGGTGGAAAGAGAAGTTATCACACCCAGAACCACACAAAAGAATGAAACATTTGTCCCATAACAGGAGGGCCAAAATATTTACATTTGCTCAAATGCATTGGTTCTTAAACAGCATGGTGGTGGGTGGAGAATTATGTAGGTCAACTATCCAAGTCACAAGCCAATTGTAATTCATTACATCTAAAAACAAAGAAAATCATGCTTCCCTCTTTCATGCCTACCTTTACCTTTTGAAGTCAAGAGTTCTTTGTGAACATTTGAAAGGTGCATATAAACTAATAAATTATATAGGTTCATCAGTCTTGTCTGTCTGTCTATGTGCGCGTGCTCTCTCTCTCTTGTAGTCAGTAAGGAGATGCTGAGAAAGTGTTTGGCTTTGAGTAAGGCATGGTCAGCCTGAAAAAATTGAAAAACTTTAAGCTAATGTTGGAATCTGTATTTTGTACATAATTCCCACTACTGTCTTATCTTTACTGGAGTATTAGCACAATGATAGTGATTCTTACTCTCTTTTCTAATAATGTAGTTGTGTTTTTTCCTTAATCACTCCCATTGGTAGCAACTGTTTTCCTAATTTATGACCTAAACCTTTTCTCTTATGGCATCAAGACTTCTCACTTGCCATTTTTATAAACTGAAAATGTCATCTCTTTATTTTAGACTGTATCTTGGAGTTGTATATGGTCTTTCAAAATCTTTCCTTACCTGTTAACATCTTCATCTACCACAGAGTTCTGGGGGATGTTTCTCATGTGGGTGCAGGTCCTCTGTTAGTATGGAGAACAGTAGTATAGATTTGGTTCCCATAGCCACTTGTAATGTAAGCATGTTTGGACAAGAGGCAGAATATGACAACAGCCTTGCAGCAGAACTGCCCCAGTGTTCACCACAGTAGGAAATATCCCCATGGAGCTCTGGTGTGTAAACCCTCTTCTGTTTACACCTCACCCCCACATGTCTCCATCTGTTTTGTTCTCTTGTCCTTCTATACACCATAGTTCCCATGATACTTTCTCACAGTGTTTAAAAGTTGTCAAACTGGCAGGAGCAGATGCTGTATTATCTACATAATGGGTATATCCTGAGTCCTGACACTACAAGCTTCCCTTAACTTCCTCTGCAGTGAATTTATCCCAGCTTTGAAGTAATACCTGTCTTGTAAGAATGCCAGCCATACTATCAGTTACAAATGTGATATTTATCAAATGCACTAAGGGCTGGTCTGAAACCAACAACTCTTTTCACATGGGCTTTAATAGAAAACATAAAGTGCTTGAGTCCAGATCCTCCAAAGTATTCAGGCTCCTAACTTACATTGAACTTGAGTTGGAGGAAATGGGAGTTAAGTGCCTTAATACTTAGAAGATCTGGTCCTTTGTGTCCAAGTATGAAAACCATGAATCTTACCACTCTTTAGCTTCCGCCCTGCAATACACATGAATAGATATTTAAGACAGCACAAATAACTTGAAGTTTGCTAAACAAAAAAGCAGATGGAGACAGTAGGATATGCCACACAATAGAGTGTATCAGGCTGTTTCTGTTACTAGTATTGTTTCAGCTGCATTAACACAAGTTGTAAAAAAATGTTTTCCAGACAAGTGAAGGGCTTGTGAGGGCAGAAATAAACAGCAAGTGAAAAGGGGAAGAGAGGATGATATGGAAGGGGAAAGCAAGAAGAAAAGTGGTAGTAGGAAAGTCTAACAATGGGGAGCAAAGCAGCTGGAGCAGGTTGATGAGCTAGGAGAGTGGGTCAAGTGGTATTAATGAGTTAGTCTGATAGTAAATAGCAAAACACACACTTCAAATTGAAAACAGTTAAGTTTCAGGAGTCGAGTTAAATATTGCAAATTCAGGCTGTATGTATTAATGACTTTTGGTTAAGTTAGACCTTGAGTTAAATGAAGTCATGAAAATGTTGCGCTTTCTCTGTATTTCTAACAGCCCGTTGGAGATGAAAGAGTCCGAATACCATTGCTAACCCCCAGTATATACTTGAAAATAAACCATGATTTTTTTGTTGTTGTTTAGTCTGTAACATCCTCATTACTCAACCTGTTACTTGAAGTAGTTTAATTTCATTCTTATCTGTTTTGACAGCTGAATCTTATCTTCTTGGTGATCACATTGTGCAAAATGGTGAAGCACTCAAACACTTTGAAACCAGACTCTAGCAGGTTGGAAAACATTAAGTAAGTGCTTTGTGTTCAAGTATGAGAACTATGATTATTTTCTGATTGCTGAACTGATTGAAAGCTACTCTCCATTAGGAACAAATGCCGTTGTCTCCCAGCAACTGCAGATGTCAATTAGAAGCAAACAGTACCAATCCTGCTTTCGTCACATTGTTGCCATAATGTCCCAGAATTGGTCAAAATTAGATAATTTCAGCTTGGATCTGTTGCCAAGACATTGTTTCATGGAAATGCCATAGCAATGTGGTAATTTCATTTGCATTTGCAATGCAGTTCAAAATGATGTTCCTGTTTGCATGGTTGATATGATTATATTAAGTTTGTTTTGTTAAATGACTTTTTGATTTAGGGATTCTGAGCAGTTTCCACTTGTAATCCTGTTCTCTCAAGAGAATTGACTCTATTACTATTGTTAACTTGAAGATTATCTGTTGTTTTCATGCTAATTTAACAAATGTTTACTTTATCTTGGTGCTGTACTGCAGTATCCCTTTTGAAGAGTAATGCAAATGTGACATAATTAACAAGAATGTGACACCTGTTGCTTCTCTGTATACTCTTTCAGTGCATTCTGTATAGTGCTATATCTAACTGAAGGCTTTTGCTATCAACTCTTTGAAGGGATGGTGCAGCTTAGAACATCAAGAGTTGGTTGTGAAAGGGTCTTACAGGCTTGCTTTGAATATTGAAAATGGCAAAGGCAGATTTATAGTAAGGTTAACATTGCAAACTAGATGCTATAGATAGGCCAGTATCAGCTTCATTGCATGTTGCATGATAAGAGAGAGAGAGAGCTAATCTTTAGCATCTCTCTCTTTTCTTCCTTTTCCTCTGTCTTCTCATCCACACCAGTAATTACCGGGTTTGTGATGGCTACTATAATACGGACTTACCTGGGTAAGATAGAACCCTATCTTAACAAATTTTTAGCATGATTTTTTTTTTAACTTTACAAACTCGGTCAATATTGTGGATTGCCCTTAATTTTAATTAAGTCGTTTTGGAAATATCTATTTTGCTAAAGTATTTTTAACTATTATATGCCTTTATAATTTTTAATTGCTTGCCTCTGCATTTTGAATTTCCTAATTTTGACTAATTTTTATATAAAATACAAAAATGCTTTCTTATTAATTTCTGTTTCAATTCTGTCTAATAATTTTTGTTTCTCTTTTCTGCTTATAATGCTTTCTAGCTATGAAGATAATAAGCCATTTATCAAGTAAGATCATTAGTTAGATGTGGAATGCACTGACTAAAACCCCCTTCCCCTTCATTCTGTGATGTTCTCTACAATTCCTTTTTCCTTAAACTATTCATGATGGAATCTCTTTTAAAGACTTTATTTTGTAGAGATATATCCATATTTTTGTCACATTTCAGCAGGCTTCTTCATGTGGAAGTTGGATCATCTAGCTTCAGCTTAGTTGAGTTTATCAGTGTTAAAGCTTTAGGTTCAAGGCTTTTAATCTGCCGTTTAACCTTTGTGTATTTGTGTTACATTATTTGGTGTCACATAGAACCACCACTAAAAATATAGGACTTGGCAGTTAAGCTAGAATTAAATCAATCTCCTTTGTAAAAATATAGATAAAGCAATGGAGTAGCAGGGGCTTGAGCTACACCTTTGCATTTCAAAATAGTTTTGACATCTTGTGCAGTTCTTGAGTAAGAAAAAGGTCATATCTACTGTTGCCGTTTTCCCTGGAGACTAAAAGTACCAAATGGAATTGTTCTTCCTTTAATAGATGAAAGGTTAAAGCCAAAGAATTTTTGCATTTGAATGTGAACCTAGTAAAAGTCAACTGCAGCAACTGAAATGTTAATATTGGAGTTGACGATATGCATTTTTATCAGCAGTGTTACTAAAATTAATTTTCTTTTACAGGTCCTGGGTCCTGGGTGCATTTGCTCTCCTGTGTCTTCTTGGCCTAACATGGTCATTTGGCTTGCTGTTTATCAATGAGGGGACTGTTGTGATGACATATCTCTTCACAGTATTTAATGCTTTCCAGGGAATGTTTATTTTCATCTTTCATTGTGCCCTTCAAAAGAAAGTAAGTGACTGAAAACACATGCATCTGTTTTGTGCCTCTTCTAAAAGTACTAAATATGTTTCTGAAAAGAAATATCAGATAGGGAAAAGTGGCAAAGGAGAGTATAATTTCAAAAGTAGTAGCATTTTGTAGTGTTTAGAAGAGGAGACAGAGGCAGAAGTAATGGTTTCTTTTTGCAACCAGTGACTTGCTGTGTGCCCTTGGGCTAGTCATTTAGTTACTCTGTTTCAGGCAGTTTTAAAATGGGTATATTTACAACAAAGGGATGTGGCAGGGCTTAATTAATATTTCTTATGGCACATTGAGAGCCTTTCTTGAAAAATTATTATAGATGTCCAAGAGTTAGAAGAGTAGCATAAATTTTACATGTACAAACTTTTCGTGGCTTTTGTTCTTTGGATTGGGGGGAAAGGGGGGGCTTTTTTTTAAACCTTCTGAAGGTTAGAATTAATTTTTCACAAAACAGTTATGGCATCAATAGTGACAAGCAAGCATCCAAGGATTTACAGTGGCACTCTCAACTTGGATAGGGATCATTTTTAGGGTTGAAAAACTAACTTTTTTCTCTCTCTCCCCGTACCCTGTGCTCACTCTTGCACACTCTCCTCTCTTTCTCTCTCTCTCCCTTTCCCCGCCCCCTCCCCCAGAAAATATGGTCATTAATAGATAGTATCTAAGGGGGGGCAGCTTTTCCAAAATTAATGCTATATTGTTGCTTCTTAAAAATAATTAGTTCCCAAAGACTGAGTTTGGTTTACTCAAAAATGTAATTTAATCCACTGACGCCAAAGTACATTCAGAATGTTGACCTACAGGTTGAAAGGCTGAACATGCTCTTGCCGATTGCCTGGGCCAACCATTTTTATGATTGTTACTAACGTATGTGTCCATCAAAATTTGGAGCTTTAGGGAAGGGGTGCCCACCCTCTGTCCCACACACCAGATCTGGCCCACAAGGCCATGTTATCTGGCACATGGATCTCCCCTACAGTTTTGAAAATTTGACAGTGAGGAAGAGGTGGTAGCATTAATTGCATCTGTCCAATACCAAATATCCAGACCATATTGGAGCCCCCTGGGCCAGATGATGTAGCCCTGCATGCTGGATCATGGCTGTCATGTGGTGTGGTGGGGCTGGTGCATGGCCAGTTCTAATATGCAGAATCAGACTGGTTCTGGTGTGATACAGCACATGGCAGGATCCAGCACGTGGCACCGTGTTGGTTCACAGCTAGATCCAGCATGCAGGGTTGAACTGGCAAGCATCTGGATCCAGCACATGAGATTAGGCTGCACATGGTGTTGGACTGGCAAACATGGCCAGACCAACACACTGGACTGTACCCTTGGACCAACCCCATGCACCAGATCTGGCCCATGGACTGGTCCTGCACCACTCATTTGCCCACAGAGCCAAAAAGGTTGAGCATCACTGCTCTAGGACAGTGGTCTCCAAACTTTTTTGATCGCACACCCCTATCGGTGCCAGTTAGACTCCGGAGCGGTGAGAGATGTGCGGGAGAAAGCCCGCCAAAAACCCCCCAGCAGCCGCGGAGCCCCCCCACCAACCCCCAGCACAGCTGGAGGCAAGCGGGGCCTATGGTGGGAGGGGGTTAACCCCTGAGTGAGTGGGAGGAGGTGGCTGAGTGGAGCCAGGCCAGGTCAAGCCTCACCCCAGGCCCCTACTTCACCCAGCCCCCCAGGGAGCTGCGCGAACAGGCTGCGCAAACAGGCGTGCTTGTCTGCTGACATGTGAGTTAGCGCAGAGTTCATGTAGGAGGGTGTGCAGGAGGGCCCGAGACCCTGCCTGTGAACCCCTCAGGGTAGATAGTCCCAGCTGTAGCCAGCCTACCAGAGGCATGACATGGGCAGACGCTGCACCCCGAGGGTCCCCTTGGGCTCTGCGGGCCCCCCCGCCCGGCACCTCAGAGACGGCCGCCTGGATGGAACCCATGGTTCCGGGATCCATGTAGACGGAGCCCCTGGCTCTTGGCTGCAAGGGCTGCCTGTCGCTTTTTCAGGCTCTGGGGCCCGGGAGCATGGCCACTTCCCCTTGTGGGGTCTGTTCCCTTTTGGGGTCTCTGGCACACCAGCTGGAGGAGCTCCAGGTCACAATCCAGAGATTGAGTGCCATCAGGGACTGTGAGCAGGTCTACTGCCAGGCCCTTCTCCCCCAGGAGCCGGAGGGTAGACCACAGTCTCCCTCCAGGACAAAGGAGGACTCCAGGACCTCCCACTCTGTCCAGTCATGGGCATGGACCAAGGTGGTCAAGGGCCCTAAGGCCCGCCGCACCAAGGCCCCTGGCCCACCGGAGCTTAGCAACAGGTATGCACCACTTGCAGGCCCAGCAGAGTCTGCTGAGTCGCCAGCTCCCGCAGGCAACACAGGCTCAACTGCAGTTACCTCCCCCGCTCTCCCCAAGACAAAACGTAAGGTGTTTGTTGTGGGAGACTCCATCCTGAGGGGGACTGAGGGGGCAATCTGCTGCTCCGACCCCTTAGCCCAGGAAGTCTGCTGCTTCCTGGGGGCCCACATCTGGGACATTGTGGAGAGGATTGCAAAGCTCCTCCAGCCCACAGACCACTATCCTATGCTCCTTATTCACGTGGGCACAATTGACACAGCTCGGAGCCCTCCCAGCTGGGTCATGAGGCGCTACAGGGATTTGGGAGAGGAGCTAAAGGGTCTGGGAGCACAGGTGGTATTCTCATCGATCCTCCCAGTCTCGGTTTATGGGCTGAGGAGGGAGAGGAGGATCCACGTAGTCAA